ACATTCATTCTGTGTCAGAAACCTATGCTGTGTCAAATATTTAATCACAATCCAAATGCAAAGCTCTATCAAGCTTGAATGTTGTGTCCATACTTGCCCAAACTGTTCAGGGTTAGACCTCTGCGGTCGTATCAAGCTGCACCCTGCATTTTATTAGTGTTTTGTTTTAATAAATAGTTTAGTTTTATATCTTATCTTTGTTTTATACTAGTAAGTTAATAATTGTAGTTTTGGTATATGTTGGTTTGCCAAGGTTACTCAGGACCACTTGAGATAGCACACACACTCACATACATACTGGTGCCCTTAACACTTAGTTTGATATTTGGTTATTTTGGATGTCGCTATCATATTTCGATAAGCTTGTATTCTTGGATTCCAATTCTTGCTGAAAACTGTAAAGGTTTTACAAACAGCTGTATCCATTAGACAAATCCCAGCAAACCTTACTATTTCCCTTGCCTATATGCCTCGACATAATGGTCCATTTATGTAGCCCTTTGTGCTTTAAGTATATATTCACTTTACTTTCTTTATACGGCGTAAACAGTTATTTGTTGATTTGACCTTTCTTCAGTAGATTGTTCTGTGCATGGATTATACAATTCTACACATTTATATATTGGAAAGGATTTTTTAAAGATCTTGGTTATCAAATAGTTTAATTACTAGAAATTTCGGAAGCGTAGCTATAAATCGACACTGAAACTCTGACAGTCCAGTAGTCTGATATAAAATCCCTAGTGTAATACTGTATTTCACTGTATTATATGCACCGGGGATCTATATAAGAGTCTTATACAAATTCAGGATAAAAATATACAAAAACACTGTTTTTTGGGGGGGAAGGAGGGTTGGCAAAACACAAACCCTACTCATCGAAAGCATAGCGAAATTCATGTGTGCGAAGACAAAGATAAGACGAAAAAGTCACTCAATTATGAGCAGTATACGTGCGTCGAACCACAAGCTCAAAAATCTCGGTCTCTATGAACAAATATATTGAAACGTTACATGCTTTATAGGTACAGTATATTTATTTCAGAGACAAATAACTGCTTGTGGGACGAAACAGGCTGTCGGATTATAGGGACGTCAGACTTGAGGAATGTAAAATTTTAAGACTGTCTGATTATAGGGAAGTCGTACTTGAGGAATGTTGAATTTTAAGACTGTTTGATGATAGGTCTGACCGCAGAAATTTCTATGATTTGATAAAATTGTACCTGGTGTTTCTGATATCACATTTGACCTGGCAAGGCTGTAAATCCTCATCAGATACCCTAGCCCAATGTACTTTTAATAACTAAAATAATCAATTATGATTACCAAGTAATTATAATCTATATGTAACCTGGGATTAGTATACTTTAGTCAATATATTATGTCCCGGGTGTAATGTATCAGTTTCATTTTTAGGGCTCGACACCTGGCCTGCAATGCACTTATAATTTGAATGTTCATTCCTTATCTAATTACTTAGCTTTATTATTTAAAGCATTTATAATTTTGCCGAGGTCAAATACACCTTCTCATTCTTGTGTTTACGTTAGGCAATTATAAGCGGTCTGGGAAATAGATGTGTAGCTTGTATATAATTTTTTCACGACTGTAATGGCGACTGCTACTACGACGACACCGTCGCGTTGCAAACTAAGGCAGATAATCGGAAAAACCTGTCTATAAAACAAAAACTATTGTAACATATATCCCAATCTTTTAGGTAAACATATTGGTCATCTTCCTTATAATAAGGTTAACCATCAAGCAAGGATTGATTACCATTCACATCTATTTGTCAATAATCATTAAAATGCATACTACGAAGCTTTTGACCTATCCCTCCTTCAGTCAAGACAGTTAGTCAGTCCATCAGTATGTCAGTCATTTTAGTTTCCAGTTGCTTACTCAAATACTTTATACCATATTGCAACCTTACATATATATATATATGATGACATATAATGATAGGAAGATCCCTATTGATTTTGAGGTCGCTATTTCTAAGGTCAAGGTCATATATACATAAAAAACTTTCCAAAATTTGTGCAGGAAAGGGGTATCTGAAGGCTGGTGAAAAGGGGGGGGGGGGGGGGCGAAGGGGAGGCATGGTGTATGCAGCCCAAAAGGGGACAGAGGGAGCACTCCTCTATTTTGGACATTTATTATCTTGTTTATGCCAACTGACCCATGACAAAAAGTCCATTGGTTTACCTTATCATTACACAGTGGTGTAAAATTCATTTATCAAGACCTTTTCATCAGATAAATAGAATTTTTCACATCAGTCTCACATTCACCAACAGTGGTTAGCAGGATATTGTACTCAACCCTACAAGTTCATTCACATCCACTTGATCCTTTTGTCATTGCCAAAGGCACTACTTAGCAGAATGAGCTCATATTTGGTTAGCAGCTTGGTAGTAATGAGTTGTAAGGTGTGAGAGCTTGGGGAATATGTCATACACCTACTTCCTGTACTGGGGGTCTCGGTGGCCGAGTGGTCTAAGTAGTTACTACAAAAATGTACTGTAATCACTAGCCAGTCAACACTGAGGTTGTGAGTTTGAACCCCGCTCATGCGGGTGCACCTGACTCCAATCTTAATTGACTAGGATTGTCAGTTTTCCTATTGAAGGTCGGTGGTTTTTCCCCGGGCACTCCAGCTTCCTCCTCCAATAAAAACTGGCCGCCACGAAATAGCCAAAAAGCGGTGCTTAAAAGTGGCGTTAAAACACCAAAAATCAAATACTTCCTGTACTTTGAATTAAAAGTGGCTGTATGCTTGGTGTGTCAATATGTGCATTCGTGTTGGACTTTTTATACGACCGCAAAAAATTCGTCGTTGTCAGACATTTGGTTTCCAGACAATAACTTTAGTAAATGTAAATATAAATCTATGAAATTTAAACACAAGGTTTATAACCACAAAAAGAAGGTTGGGATTGATTTTGGGGGTTAAAGTCCTAACAATTTAGGAATTAGGGGCCAAATAGGGGCCCAAATAAGCATTTTTCTAGTTTCCAGACAATAACTTGTGGAACGGTGTATGGATCTCTCTGAAATTGTACCACAAGTTTCCATACCACAAATGGATGGTTAGGACTGGCTTTGGGGGGTTATGGCTCAAACCCTTTAGGAATTAGGGACAAAAAAGGGGGAAAAACAAGGGTTTCCTGGTTAATGGACAATTAAAAAAAAGTACAATGTTAAATTTGGATTACCTCCCTTACACTGCTTTTAAATTATGTATAAAGAAATGTTGTATTGTCTTGAGGTGATTAGCTGTCAATTTATTTTTAGAAGTTACTATTTAAAAAAGCTGATTAAGGAATATTAATTTTAGCCATGATTATGTATGTCATTTTTTATTTTAAGACTTTTATGATGTATTTAAATGGGTAATTATGGTTGCAAACTCATTGGAAATTTGAATTGAGATTATGACCATATCTTGAGGGAAAGAATTTTTTTTTGGGGGGAAAAGGGGGTGGGGGGAGGGGTTAAAAAGAAATTGTGAGGGGGGGGGGGGGGGGACATTTTTTCAGATTTCAGAAATTGAAAAGAAAATTTCTTCAAATATTTTTTTTTTGAAAAAAAAGGGGGATGGGGTAAAAAAATTTTGCTTGTTAGTTTGTTTTTTTTTGGGCGGGGGTTCAGTTCGCAACAGCATAGTGTATTGCACAAAAGCAAAAAAATGAATATAAATTCAAATCATATAACCAATTCTAAGTTCTTTGACTACAGTTATTCTGTGTCAGAAACCTATTATGTGTCAAATATTTAATTACAATCCAAATTCAGACCTGTATCAAGCGTGAATATTGTGTCCATTTTTGCCCCAACTGTTCATGGTTGGACCTCTGCGCTTGGCGAAGCAATTTATTGGTATTATTTTGGTATTATTGACATTTACATTTTTTTACCTCCCGTTAACTTTGCTAAACTAAGAGTTATGAAGTATGAAAGGAAAAAGGAGAAAAATAATTTTTCTGAATGATGGAATAAATCTTAACTATGATGGGGGCATAGAAAATGTCTTATGGACATAACAATTTCAAGTTGTATTTCATCACTTTAAAATTTAATGTTTAAGGCCTCAAATCATCTTTCTCTAGTTCTTGATTATATTTCATTTGTAATGTTTAAAATATATTCTTTGAGTAACTGTCTTGCATTTAGTATTTGGGATTTTTAGCCGCAGAATGCAAGACATAGGGATTATTATCCTGTGGCAGCGGCGTTAACTATTTGTATAAAGCTTTATATTTCAGAAGATAGAAGACCTGGATGCTTCATACCTTGTATGCAGATGCCTTATACTACAAAGTTTTCGTCTGTCATGTGTCCATTGTCCTTGACCTCTATTTCATGGTTCAGCAACTGCTGGAAAAAAATCTAAAGTTATTTTGTCATGTGAAATACTCTCTTATTATGAGTAATAGGATAACTATATTTAGTATATGGGTTCCTTGCAAGGTCACCTGACCTCCACCTCACTTCATGAATCGTGGTCAAGGTAAAGTTTTCATTGCCAAGTCCATATCTCAGGTACTCTAAGCAATAGGGCGACTATATTTGGTGTATGGAATGATTGCAATGTGTACATGTCTGTCTGGCAGGGTTCATCTGACCTTGACCTCATTTGTATTGATCATTAATAATGTTTAGTTTATGTGATATTTGTAGTAAAAGCTTACATATTACACATTTTGAACATAAATTCAGTCTTCACAATATTGAATAAACCAGTAGTCCGAAGCCCGAGGCTTGTAAACTTCCTGGTGGGCCTGTGAAAATTAGTTGTACAGGCCTATAAAATTTAAACAAAAAATTCTGAAAAATGGGGTGTGGGCCTGTGGTCCAAAAAGTTTACTGTGAAGACTGTAAATTCAATTATGACAAGTAAAGCAGGCAAGATATTTCAGCATTTGCACTCTTGTATATTTGGGAAAAGCATGTGTGTAAACTACTATACAATTACAAAATCATTGTTTCAGAAAGAATGTCAGGAATGCAATTGCACAGGTTGTTGCAACTGTTGCAAAACATGATTTACCCAAGAACCAGTGGCCACAACTTTTCCAGTTTCTAACAGCTTATACAAAAAGTCAGAATCCAGTTGAAAGGGAGGTAAATATAAATCCTAAATGGTCATTGCATGTAAGCTGTTTGTTCTGATATTAAATGTATTATATGCCAGTATTTCTTTTCAGTTTTCAAGGGTTGACAATTGCACTAGCCCAAGCTCATGAATATCACTTTTCACTGCTGGGTTATCAGTTATAGTAATTCATAAAGCTTAACGAACTAGCATATGATAAACTTTGTGCCATTTACCTGTAACCTTGTCTTCCATTTTCCTTCGGCCAGGTACAGCTTTTGCCATCACTTTGTCCATCGTCCATAAACTTTTCTTTTAAAATCTTCTCTGAAACTGCTAAATGAATTGAAACCAAAGTTTGTCTACCTTATCTGTCGAGACATAGGTATTACTACCCGGCAGCGGCCCCGATGATGTAAACTATTTGTATAAAGCTTTATATTTCAGAAGGTAGAAGACCTGAATGCATCATACCTTGTATGCAGCTACTTTTTGTTGCGAAGTTTCCATCTGTCAATTGTCTACCGGTATTGTCCTTGACCTCATTCTCGTGATTTTTTGTCATGTGAATTTCTCACTTATTATGAGTAGTAGGATAACTATATATGGGTTCCTTGCAGCGCCTACATGTCCGTCAGACAGGGTTTAACTGACCTTGACCTCATTTCATGGATCAATGATCAAGGTTAAAGTTACGTGATTATGTCCATTTCTCAGAGACTATAAGCAGTAGGTCAACTATATGTGGTGTATGTAATGATTATTAGGTGTACATGTTTGTGTAGCCAGTATCATCTGACCTTGACCTCATTTCCATGGTTCATTGGTCAATGTTAAATTTTTGTGTTTTGGTCTGTTTTTCAAGTACTATATGCAATAGGTCAACTATATTTGGTGTATGGAATGTGTTATCATCTGACCTCATTATCATAGAACATTTATAATGTTAAGTTTATGTGATACTTGTAGTAAAACCTTCATGTTACAGACTTTCAACATAAATTCAATGATAAGTAAAACAGGCAAGACATTTCAATGTGTACACTCTTGTTGTCCAGTTTGATCAACCAATATGATGGCCATGTAAAAATAAAACAAAGTGGTCAAACCGTAGTTATTGCCTTGTTGATTTTTAACTTTTTTGGTATTTCCTTGTCCTTGTCATTGTTATTAGAAATGTAGGAGCTAGATTAAAAAATAAAATGGAGAAAAATGATCAACATGACAAGATGTATCCACCCTGAAAATAACAAATTGTGACAGGTCTGCTGCAGATGGTAACTCATTTTGCAGCATGAGGACATGAATCATTGGAGAACAGAAATACCTATTATTTGGAGCATTTACATTGATGTACCAATTCTGACAGTCACAAAATGTGTTCAACCAACAGTGATTCCCAGCATTTGTCAACACCTATAAATTAAGCAATTGTGTTGATTATGTCACTCAGTTTTTGTTGTCCTAGAAGGCATGACATAGTACTGCTTTTCAGGCAGGCGTTGGCAGCAGGGGTGGGTGAGAAATCTGAGAGGCTGTTTTAGGAGTGCACATAATTTATTACATGCATGTTTTAAATGTTAGTCATCTGGCCATGCGGCTATGTCATGTTGTAAACAACTGGAGTTATCATCATCAGCAAGACCCTCCAATTGCTTCAGAGGATAATTTAAAGAGAGAGGAATCTAAATGACTAGATAACAATAATCTGAACATGTCTACTTCAATCACTCTAAATGTTGACAGATTAGAGCATCAATTAGAATCACATTCAAATAAAAAAATTGTCTCTTATTCATGTAATGGTTTAAGATCAGGTTTTGATTGTATGATAAGTGAAGAAATTGTGGTAATTCAAAGAATGTAAAAAATAATTTTTCTGCAAGGTCAAACAAGGTCACAACTTAATATTGTTTTTGATGTAGGCCAATGTTTTTTATGCCCCCGCCGTAGTGGAGGGGGCATTAAGTTTTACCCTTGTCTGTCTGTATGTCCGTCCGTCCGTCCGTCCGTTTGTCAGTCTGTCCGTCCGTCCGTCTGTCTGTCCGTCCGTCGTCAACATGTCGGACAATAACTCATTGCTTTGAACAATTTTCATACAACTTTGGTGAATTGTTTATATATATTGACATAAGTTCCCTTTCGATTTAAAAAAATTTCTGATTTTAAGTTTTGGAGTATTGGGACTTTTTCATAAAAAAGGGAGGATTTTTCAGTATTTCGGACAATAACTCAAAAACGCTTTTAGCAGTTATCATGAAACTTTGGTGACTTGTTTATATCTATTAAAATAAGCTCCCTTTTGTTTTTTATAAATATATGAGATGACATTGCAGAGTTATGGAACTTTATTAGTTGAAAATTGTTGAAAACTGTCCAGTTGGCGACGGGCATATCATGTGCTCATGGCGCAGCTCTTAATTGATTTTGCCATTTGTGAAGGGATTTTCTGTTTTTAATTTTCCTTGGAGTTCAATATTTTTGTTATTTTACTTTTTACATATTTTTGACTAGTACCAGTTGTATTTCTACATGAGTACACCTACCAGGGAGAAAAATATCTGAAACAAGATTTGGCTTCCGGCAAGGAGAGCGCCAAAAAGTGTTGATCTTTTATTTTTGCAACCTTAAAATTTCAGTGCTAGGTGATAATTAAAAAAAAATTTAACAGCATTCTCTTTTAAATTTTTATCAATTTTCGCAAAAATAAGGTTGGTAAAACAGTTAATTAAAAAATCTTGGCCTTAATTGAAAAGACTGTGTAAAAAGTTTTGTTTATGGACCATTAAAGACTTTACCTTTTCAAACTCACGAGGTAAGCCCTTTGAGAGTAGCAACAAGTAAATACTCGGAAAAAAAACACCTCATCTTAGATTTGTCTTCTCCATATGATGATGAAAATTGATGATGCTATTCAAACTATTCTTAAGTGTGGAAGAAACAGTACCTTATGCAAGTTCAATGTTTTAGATTCATTCAAATTTGTTCTTATAAGTCACTTACTATGTAATGGGAGGTGGTGATGAATCCCTGGAATAAGTCACTATTTCATGCTTCATAATATATGATAAGGTTAAGAAATTTGAATTAGATATATATGATAAACATATCTGAAATATTTAGTATTTTTAGCTTTGGGCCAGGTGAGCTTATGCCATCACTTGGAGTCCGGCTTTGTCCGTAGTTCGTCGTCATCGTCGTCGTAAAATATTTCAAGAATCTTCTCCTCTGAAACTACTGGGCAAAATACCTTCAAACTTTAACTGAATGTTCCTTAGGGTATCTAGTTTATAAATTGTATCTGAAATTTTGATTTATCAACAAACATGGCCGCTGTTGCTAGAATTAGAACATAGGGGTCAAATGCAGTTTTTGGCTTATATCTCAAAAACTAAAGCAGTTAGAGCAAACGTAAAAAGGTCAAGATCTATCTGCTATGCAATTTTCAGGCCAATTGGAGAACCCATTGTTGGGTTACTGTCAGAAGTTTATGGGTATTATCTATAAAATTATAGTAGATATAAAGAAAGTGTAAATGAGAAAAATGTTCAGCTAAGTAAGATCTACAAATAAGTCAGCATGATCAAATTATCAATTGACCCCTTAAGGAGTTATTGCCCTTGAAACACAATTTTTTACATTTTTTTGTGCATCTATTACTTTTAAGCTCACCGTTCTGAAGGAACTGTGAGCTTTTGCCATCACATGGCGTACTCCGTCGTCCGTCGTGTTCGTTGTTGTCTGTCATCGTCCGTCTGGTGTAAACTATTTCAAACATCTTCTCCTCTGAAACTACTGAACCAATTCCAACCAAACTTAAGCTGAATGATGCTTAGGGTATCTAGAATAAAGTTTGTGTTTTATTTACAGTTTCGTCAAATAACATGGCCGCCATGGCTAAAAATAGAACATAGGGGTAAAATGCAGTTTTTGGCTTATATCTCAAAAACCAAAGCATTTAGAGCAAATCTGACATGGGGTTAAAGTGTTCATTAGATGAAGTTCTATCAACCCTGAAATTTTCAGTTGAATCTGATAACCCTTTGTTGGGTTGCTGGCACTAAATTGGTAATTTTAAGGAAATTTTGCCCGTTTACGGGACGTATTATGGTATACCATTGTACGTCCGCCTGTCCGTCTGTCCGTCCGTCCGTCGTCAACATGTCGGACATTAACCAATTTGCTTAAAACTTTGGTGAATTGTTTATATCTATTGACGTGAGCTCCCTTTCGTTTTTTATAAATTTTAGATTTTACGTTTCCGAGTTATGGGGTTTTATTCATTAAAAAAAAGGTGATTTTCCAGTTTTAGGACAATAACTCAAGAATGCTTTCACCAACTTGCAAGAAGTTTTGGTTAATTGTTTATATCTAATGACATGAGCTCCCTTTGGATTTTTATAAATTTTAGATTTTACATTTCCGAGTTATGGGGTTTTATTCATAAAAAAAGGGGGGATTTTCCAGTTTTCGGACAATAACTCAAAAATGCTTTCAGCAGTTCTCATGAAACTTTGATGAATTGTTGATATCTATTGATGTAAGCTCCCTTTAGAATTTTATAAATTTTAGATTTTACATTTCCGAATTATGGGGTTTATTCATTAAAAAAGGGGGGATTTTTCAGTTTTCAGACAAAAACTCAAAAATGCTTTCAGCAATTCGTATGAAACTTTGGTGAATTGTTTATATCTATTGATGTAAGCTCCCTTTAGAATTTTATAATTTTTATTTGTTTATAGTCTGACAACAGATTTACTAAGTATTGCGTAACAGCACAGTGTATTGCACAACAGCAAGAAATCTTTAATTGGATATAAATTCAATTCATATAACCAACTTCAAGTTCTTTGACTACATTTATTCAGAAACCTATAATAGATGTATGTCAAATATTTAATTACAATCCAAATTCAGACCTGTATCAAACTTGAATATTGTGTCCATTTTTGCCCCAACTGTTCAGGGTTAGACCTCTGCGGGCGTATCCAGCTGCGCTCAGCGAAGCAGTTTATTGGTTATTATCTTG